GGAAAATTTTAAATCGGGGTTTTTTAAAAAACGTCAGAACCCTTATAGAGTCAGAAAATTTAAGCGAGAGAATAATGACACAATACACCAATGCTTCACACGGATGGGAAAAATTCTGTTAGGAAAACAAATGTAGGTCAACTGTACAATCACGAACGAGAATGATCTATCACGATTTCTCAGGGATACTAATCTTACAGAGAATAACTAAACAATGTCCAACTTAAAAGTCTACGTAGTGTAGTGTATGTTTTGCTCCATTATTGTTCAAATTTCATTGTACAATCTCTTTAGTAATTAAATAATCAACTACCTCATTTTGTGATTTTACTAGTAAGCATAAGTCACCTTATGTGATTTTCTTATTTACTATTGTTCGTTAAACATTAGCTGAATTGATACTTTCTCTGTCCATATTACTACCTCATATTTTTTTAAATACTATCAATTGATATTACTTACTAAAATTAATAAATATCATTTTTACTAAAATTTCAATTTACTCTTAACATTTTTGACATTTAATAACCATTACTTGTCTAATTACCTTTACCTGTTTTAATACCACATTTACTATCTTAGAGTACTCTTAATTACCTTGTACTGCCATATAACCTCTAGTATAACTACCAGTGCAATATTGAATGAAATAAACATTACTTTTTCACTTTTTTTGTAATCATTATTACTTACTAAAATTTATTAAACACCATATTTACTACCAGTCAATTTTACTTTTGTACATTAAACATTATTTTATACTTCCCATAACATTTTGTTGCCAAATTTTCAAGTTTTTATATTCAACCCCAACCTTTATATTATCCCTTGTACCTGTGTACCTGGGTACCTGTCTACCCTCTTACTATCATATTATAACCAAGACATACCATTGTTATTTTTTTACTATTATTCTTTTGGTACTTTAATTGTGAATTTTATTTTGTCAATTTAAATCTAGTTATAATCTTGATCTTGTCAACAACCTATACCAGACTCTAGTGCAATTGCAAGTACCATTCAATTGTATTTTTATATTATAAGTTTATATTATAAATCCTACCATCTGTCCATTTAACTTTGCTTACCATTTACTTAATTTTAGTCCCGTATATTTTTTTCTCCTTTATTTTAGCTTTTTTATAATATCCTGAGTTTATATATCCACAATTGTATAAAAAATAATCAACGGTGCTATTCTCAAGGTGCCTAAGTAGAAAAGTTTCACAATTTTGCCTTATATTCCAAAGTACTCATTTATTTGATTACCCTTTATGTTCACCAACACCTATATTCGTCGTTTTATTATAATTTTTAACTATAATTCTAACTAAAAAAATTACCTTTAAGTATACCTACTATCATATTTCCCAAAGCTCTATTATATGATCATCACTTTATTTGTATTAGGTCCCTTAGCTCATTATTTTACATTTGTTAAATAATTCAGGTGCTCTTTTTTGCTCTAAGATAATTTAATTTGTTTTATTACTTACTCTAAATATAGAATTCACTACTAATTCTTATTGATTACAAGCTTGATCCTGTACCCAAACCTCTTATTAATGACTTAAATGAATCATACAGTTACTGTAATTACTACACTGCAGAACAATCCAAAGGCAATTCTCAGTGCCAAAACAACACCATATCTTTCTTTAACTACAATATCAGTTTCTTTAAGTCAAGCATTACGATGACACTCATAGCATTACTAAAATTCTTACATGCCACTGATCCATCATTACACTAATGAAACTGGCTAAGCCTGTTTAGTACTAGATGTCTATTCCCATTCTGGTTACACAAGGCCATACACAACTGTAGCCACGACCAACAGGGGTGGCCCAGCCATATACTACTCAGAACCAACTAGAAGTATCACTATACTTGCACCCAAGGGATGAACATTGGGAATCTATAATAGCTAAATTCAAACCAATACTACAAAAACCTCTCACATGATAAAATAAATCTACAGAGTTCCCAGTCAAACATTAGCCACTTTAGTCATAATCTAGGAAGTATGTAAGTGATGCATGCATGAACAAAGATCACTTATATCTCAGGTGACTTCAATATAAATCTCCTGCAAGACCAGGACCTCACACGTTACTGAATTCCAAAACACAATGAGTAACGTATGTTACTACCAAACAGTAACAAACCTACAAGAGTTACAGAGACTTGTGTTTTCCCTACTTGACCACATCTGGACCAAACACCATACCCTTTAAAATCAGGCATAATTAAGTAATAACACAGACCACTACCATAGATTTCCTCTAATAAAATCTTGGTATACTACCCCCAAGACACTCCTAAGTCACCTTCAGAACTTCACAATGGGCAGCCAATAATAACTTCACAACAGCGTAGCAACATTGAATGGCACACTGAGCTAGAAATCTATACAGACATTGACGAATGTATTAATTAATTTTCTAAAAAATGACCCAATACCTCTATAACAAGCACTGCCCTAAAAAAAACTAAAACATATTGGACAGCAAAGAGATGAACGGTCTGGTAACACCCAGCTTCTCATATCCAGAATACAAAACACCAATATGGAAAAACAGTACAGAATGGGTCACATAACAAAGAGACCAAACAAAACGTTACTGTCAATCCTAACAGCCTGATACGAAGGGCAAAAAATTGTATTATGAGATACAGATTATCCAACTTTCGAGGTGATATAAAAAAGACCTGGAAAACCTATCAGAAATTCTAGGGGAACAAAAAAGATATCCACGATATAGCGAAATAATTTAGCTAAATAGATGAACCCCACTCCCACCCAACAGACACAGCCAAAAACAGACTCAATGATTTCTTCTCCACTATAGGACAAAACCTTGCCAATAAAATCACAAGCTCTGATACCCCACCAATGACTAACTCACTGGCAACTACCCGAACACACTGTTCCTAGCTCCGACTAACCATACGCGTCTCCCTTATTATCAATGCCATAAAAACAAGGCAGGAGATTTATGTACAACTTACACCATTTATATACAAAAGTTGTCACAAGTGCTATCTCCAATCATTGCAACACTCTTTAACAAATCCATGAATCCTCACCTTCCCTACGTACTCAAATAGCAAGGGTCACCCGATCCACAAAGGAGGAGACCAAACGAGTTGAATAATTAGGCCAAATATCAACTTACACCCTCTCTCAAAATTTCTTTCGAAAAATTAATTCATAAAAGAATCTACTCCTACCTTATCTCCCAAAACATTCTCAACCCCTGCCAAATTTGGATGCAGGATTATAAAAAATACTAATGTGCTATTATTACACATGTCTTGAACAAATATTACACTGCAATAGAGAAAAAGAAGTCCCCTGGGGATCTTCATTGCTTACGTAAAGCTTTTGATACAGCTTGGCCTGACATGCCCAACGTAAAATTGTACATATGGTATAAAGAGGGCACTCCTCATATAATCAAGTCATACCTCAGCAACAGATGCCAATATGTGTACGCAAAATGGGTGCAAACTCTTCTGCGCAACCAATTACAGTTGGTGTCCCCAGGGAAGTTGCCTTGGCCCTCTTCTCTTTTTCTATACATAAATGTCTTCCAAATTGCTTCGCAATTACTCAAACCCACACTAATTGCAGATGACAACTAGTACGTCTTTCTCTACCAGAGCCCAGTCACACTAGCCATCTGTAAATACCGA